CTTCAAAAATACCAACAAAAAAAGGCCCCGCCACGATATATTTGCGTAGATTTCAGTCTCAAAATCATTTCACGGATAAATTCTAGCTTTTTTTAGACGTTACTCAAAAAAGAATCGCGCCTAAAAAGCTTAAAGTAGGAAAGCCCTAATACAGTTATGAACAAGCCTTCTTAGAATGGCAAATTTCACAGCCAGTGCCCGATTAACGATCATAATAACGACTAAAATAAAAGATGAACCATTGCGATCGGTGTTTTACGAAGATTTGCTTTGAAAATCTGCAGACGGCTAGCTTCGTCCGGCAGCGGTATATAGATGAGCTGATCCAAACGACCAGGGCGAAGAATTGCCGAATCAATGATATCTGGCCTAGAAAATAAAAAAATGCTACCCAAAATATATCTCTAAAAATTCCTAAATGCCATACTACAGACGGAACAGCATCAAATTTAATCAAAAATCTAATTTAATTTAAATTTAAATTTAATAAAAGTCTAATCAACCAAGTCTAATTTAATCAAAAGCATTTTGTTGTAACAATATGAAATATAAAAAAGTAACAAAAATAACGCCACGAATCATGATAAATATAACTATAGTAAAAACTAGTGTATTATAAACATGACAATATACTAGTAATAACAATAACAGGAATAATAATTATTGAATACTAATAATAGTAATCGATCCCCTCAAATTACGTTCCAGGACGCCCAGCAGTTCATCCCCTCCCCCTCCCCCCTCCTCTCCCTCACCAAATCCCCACTAGTTGCTCATCGACAGTCCCCTTTTCAGGAAAAGAAACTAGAGGTTTTAGAGGAAACTAGAGCTTTCTTCTCCTCAGGAAAAGAAACTGGGAACCAATCTACCATTTTTTTTAGAATTTTTTCAAAATTTGAACCAATTTTGAATCATTTTTTTTTTCAAAATAGAGCAAAATTATAATCAAAACCGATTTGTTGCGCCGATAATGAAAACATTCTTCTTATTTGACATCCCATCCATTTCAGTCAAAATTTGATTGATAACACGATCCGCTGCACCACCCGCATCACCAATATTGCCACCACGAGCTTTTGCGACCGAATCCAATTCATCAAAGAACAGCACACAGGGTGCTGCTGCTCGAGCCTACAACGCACACAAACACAGACAGATTACGGAAAATTCTTGAGAAACAGAAGAATCGAAGGATTTCACTTGAATGTCATGTGTATGAGAAGACATTTTATGACGCAGCGATGACTGCGGTTTTGCTGGAAAATTTATGGTGATTTAATTTAGTCCGTTTACCGTCTGAGCTGCGCTTGTCATCTGTAATGATTTCAGCAAATCGATTTAATCAGAGATGATAGGGAGTGTTAAGATGAGGAGGAATTCTGATGAGCTCCCCACGTCCCTCGGAGTCAGTCGATGGGTGCGAGGATCTAGACGTGAAGAATCGGGTTGAAGGATGGAAGATGTTGGAAGACACGTAGTCTCTGTGTTTCTCATCCCTTAGCTGTATACACAGACCGAACTGTACTAACCGTAATAAAGGAAGAGCAAAAGGAGAAAAATGTTGAAAGAGCATATGATATTCTTAAAACTCTTTTTTATCCTAGTAATTAGTTAACTGCCAGTGAAAGCCGGACAGGTGCAGTGGAAGAAGAAATTGGTTTAAATCTATAACGCTGGGAAGTAAGTCGAATCGTAAATGAAGAACCGTAGACCAATAAGAGGCTAAGAATATAGATGGGTCGAAATCTTGAATTAGAAAAATAGGTGCCGTGGTTTTTTGTAATGAAAGGAGGAGAGAGATAGTAGGACTGGAAATTTAGGTAAAACACAGCGTCATGTAAGGAAGTCATGTATTGGAAATATGCAAAAATCCTTATAAAAAAATAACAAATGATACTACTGCACATCAGAAAAACGTGAAAAAAAAAGGAGCAGCTAACCAACCTTATCGAAAACATCTCGTACATTTGCTTCCGATTCACCAAACCACATTGTCAGCAACTCGGGCCCCTTGATAGAGATGAAATTCGCCTGACATTCATGCGCAATTGCTTTGGCCAACAGAGTTTTACCGCATCCGGGTGGACCGTAGAAGAGGACACCACGAGATGGTTGCATACCAAATTTGAGATATTTATCCGGATGCTCTACTGGATACTGAAAAAAAATAAAAATGGACAAGCACTGCAATCAAATTCTAGTCATTATTCAGAATTAGTGCTGCATCAAGCAGACTGTAGCATCCAGGTTGACCTTGAAAGCGCAGATGGCAAAAGATGTGAAGGAATTCTTCTGAAGAAAGAACAGTATAGGAGAGAAGACAAGAGTGAGATAAGACGACGACGTTTTGGTCCATTAAGTCATATACGTCTTAACTTAATCACTACAAAAAGGCAGTACGGGCCTGAAGGGCCCTGTGAGGAAAAGAAGGGGCCGGAACTGTCCCGTAGCTAAGGGTATTACCCGGATGGGC